GATAACATAACCCAGTTTGTGTTCTTCAGTTACAATCTCATCTTTGATAACATAACCCAGTTTGCATTCTTCAATTAGAACCCCATCTTTGATAACATGACCCAGTTTGTTTTCTTCAGTTAGAACCTCATCTTTGATAATATGACCCAATTTGTGTACTTCAGTTACAATCTCATCTTTGATAACATAACCCAGTTTGCATTCTTCAATTAGAACCCCATCTTTGATAACATGACCCAGTTTGTTTTCTTCAGTTAGAACCTCATCTTTGATAACATGACCCAATTTGTGTACTTCAGTTAGAACCTCATATTTGATAACATGACCCAGTATGTGTTCTTCAGTTAGAACCCCATCTTTGATAACATGACCCAGTTTGTTTTCTTCAGTTAGAACCTCATCTTTGATAACATGACCAAATTTGTGTTCTTCAGTTAAAACTTTATTTTTGATAACATAACCCAGTTTGTGTTCTTCAGTTAGAACCTAATCTTTGTTAACGTAACCCAATTTGTGTTCTTCAGTTAGAACCTCATCTTTGTTAACGTAACCCAATTTGTGTTCTTCGTTTGCTATTGGCTGCAGCAGCACGTTCATATCTGGCAATCATCACCATGAAAAAGGGCTTCAAAACTAACAGTTCATTTCAGTAGCAGGAAAGAAATATCCTGTTTTTTTACATGAGCTTGGTAGAAGAAGTTATCAAAGACTTAGCACATCAACCAACGATTTATACACACAAATAAACATAAGTTTGAAATAGTAGAACTTATTTAAAGATGTATCTTTTAAGGATAAATATCTATAAAATAAAATGTTAAAGTAGCTAACTTTCCAATCTGTAAGTAATAATATTTTATGAACATGTCTAACTTATGGACGTTTAGAAGCACCAAAAGTCGTTTAAAAGTGAAGTCTAGTTGGTGACTATGAATGGCATTGTCTTATTTACAATAAAAGATCGATAACTATAATCTCTTTCCTCAGCTAACTTGAAGAAAAATACTTTATTGATCAGTGAGTTTTGTGTGCCAGGCAATTTTCACAATTTCATTATTTTTTTCAAGAAGAAGAGTTTGTTAGCGGGATAATCTACAATAAATGACTATTAGGTTATAAGGTTACATTTCTAAATATAATACACAGGAAAATTAGTTACGTTTTAAAATTATAACTCGTGGACTACAGTTTTGGTTAATTTTTTTCAATAAGATTAGGCGAGGAGGCTATACTTTGATCTGGAGGGTAGACTGACTTCTTTTTTTAACTCAAAATGATGGGCCAATTTTGAAGACGTGATACTAGATATTTGATTTTGATAGAATTCAGTATCAAAGGTAATAATTGTGGTACCTAAGCCTACTTTAAGAATCTAGCTATAACTTAGTAATACCCCACTATTGCCCGATTCATTTTATTTCCACCTGGTGGTTATATCTTATAACGTTGGACGTAAAGTTATTATTTCGTCAAATTTCGTGGAAACCAGTTATGTTTTAAGAAATATGGTTGTGGTCAAATACTTGTTGTTGCAGTGGTCATTTACTACCAGTGCGTCACCGTGTTGTGTAATGATCGTAATTTTAAAATATAAGATGTTGATGTGGTCTCTCAGAACCATATTAAACCTAAAAGAACAAACGTAATGGCTTGAATATTCCGCCTGTTTCTTTAAGTATTTCCATTTCTTTAATACTTTTCTTATCTTTGATTCTCCCCTATAATAGTCCAGCAGTTACGTGTTTGGTCGCGTAAGCTTGCTTTACAAAATTAGCCTAGTTGAATCATTAAGCCTGACATTTCTTATTATTGGTTATTTTTTGTAACCAAGCGTTATACTAAAGCAACCTACATTCTGGAAACGACGCCACTTTTAAATCATTAGATAACGTTCTGAAATATTATTCAATAGGACTCAAATATTATAAATCTCAGTAAAAAGAAATAGAAGAACAACAAGAAAGTTCAATTAAACTCCTTAAATAATCTCCTAATACTATAACCTAAACATAGCAAAGACAAGTTATTTTTGTTCCAACAATTACTCAGTAAATAACTTCTGAGAGCTGATAAGGTCAGATTCTAATTAAAAATACAACCACTTTCTTCGTTGTTAACTTTAATTTGTCAATTTACTCAGGTTGATGTTAACTTTAACTTGCCCAGTTACTCAGGTTGATATTAACTTTAACTTGTTAAGTCACTCAGGTTGATGTTAACTTTAACTTGTTCAGGTACTCAGGTTGATGTTAACTTTAACTTGTCCAGTTACTCAGGTTGATGTTAACTTTAACTTGCCAAGTTACTCAGGTTGATCAAAGAAAATATATAAACTAACTCTTTACAGTGCAGTGTTTTTTTTATCTAAGGCTAATTTGATTCAGGGAAGCCGTGTACCACAAGATTTTATTCCCTATACCACAAGGTTTTGTTTTCCTTTTTTTTTGTTACCAGGAGTATAGTGTGCAGTTAACGTTTAGAGAACAGTGGCGAGACGAGAGGCTACAGTTCGACGACATGGATGGCCGCATGGCATATTTAACACTGACCGATCCGAATAAAATCTGGAAACCCGATCTTTTCTTTTCCAATGAGAAAGAAGGACATTTCCATGACATCATCATGCCGAATGTTTTACTTCGAATTTATCCAAATGGAGAAGTACTCTACAGTATAAGGTAGCTTACTGTTCAGTTTAAAATTATATAAAATCATCTCTATCAGTATTGTTACCCGAGTAATCGTGGCAGTAAACGAAGAGAAAAATAGCTCTAAGTGTTTTTCAGAAATTGTGTTTTTTTTTAGAGTAAACTATCCATAAGACTGTCATTTAGTGGAAAATTTTAAATGTTTCAAAACTCCTTATTGTAGTAGGCTTTGACCAATTTTATTTTTCCAGTGGTGCTGGATTTTAGGCTTATCTTATAAATACTTGCATCGTGTATGAAAAATATTAAAGGTAATTTAACATTATAACTCTTAAACTACAGGAAAAACGTTGAGTTGATAAAACAGAACGACTTCCCCTTGTTTGTATAGTTTGTTTTCTATTTTGGGACATTGGTTTTTTTACGTAATTGAAGCTATTGTTCACATACTACACTCAGAACATATATATATATATATATAGTAGTGTTCAATTGAACAGTTATGTACAATGTACATGTATACTTTTTTAATTATCTGAACTTTGATTTACTCATTATATCATGATGTCCAGTAAAGTATCTTGTTACCTGAAAACATTTAAAGGTAAACAGATATTAAGGATCTTAATTCTTTTCTTTAGTAAGGTTTACATTGAATGAGTAAAAACTCTAGCAATAGGTCAACCACGTTTGTTTTTGGAGGGGTGGTGTTTTTGGAGGAGAGTTAAAATTAGAGCAGTTTTCAAATTAATAACAAACATTTGTTTTATACGGAGGAATATCTAAAAAATACCTTAGAATGTTTCGTGCATTCGATTTTATTCTTTTTTTTTTAAACAATCGCACAACACTTAGTTTAAACATAAACTCAGAGCTTCTTAATATTGGTATTTCAAGTACGGAATTCTGGTTCAATTATTGTTACCTAAATGATAAACCAATTATTACTTGTCAACCGGTTTCTCCACAAATTAGATGGATTTACTCCATTTTTAAGCTGTTTTTTGTTAATTATGACACAAATACTTTCCTTTCTGTAGAATTTCCTTGGTGCTAGCCTGTCCAATGGACCTGAAGTACTATCCTTTAGACAAACAGACTTGTTCCATCATCATGGCTAGCTGTAAGTATAATAAAATCTAACAGACTTGTCCCATCCTCATGGCTAGATGTAATAATAATAAATACTAACAGTCTTGTTCCATTATCATGGCTAGCTGTAAGTATAATAAAATCTAACAGACTTGTTCCATCATCATGGCTAGCTGTAAGTATAATAAAATCTAACAGACTTGTTCCATCATCATGGCTAGCTGTAAGTATAATAAAATCTAACAGACTTGTGCCATCATTATGGCTAGGCCTATATTTCATTAACTCGTATACCTCAATGCTTTAATAATGCACTGGTTAAGATAAATTTTTTACGTTCAACTTACACAGTATCTTTCTAGACTTTAGGCGAATTCTACAAAATTATCTGAAACGACTTTACAGTTTTTATGATTAAATAATACTACTTCCAGTTTAATTGATTACGGGGGTCAGGCGTGACCCTGTGGTTTGTCCAGAATGTGAATCCAAAGGTTTGCTGTTCACGGTCTGTTGCTGCAAAAGAGCGTCTTTCGTTTTGAATCCATGGGTATGCAATAAAAGATATCGTCAAATTCCACTATTCGATCGTATAAAAGTAGCCAAAGAGCTAGAATTGACATCATTTGACCAGTTGCCTTCCCTCTAGTTTATTAGCTGTAAATCAGGGACGACTAGTGCAGATAACCCCTTTTGTAGCTTTGAAACAAAACAACAAATTCATTGATTGGGGTGAATGTGTTTCACCAGTTTGATGGAAGTTCTAAAATATTATCCATGAAACATCCTCACCTATAAAAAAAAGAGAGAGCTCTTTACTTCTATAAAACTACCTACAAATTTACGACCCTGAGTCCAAAATCAAACACGGACTAGTCAAACACAAAATCAGTGTGATTTGAATTGAGCGTTTGCAAACTCTTTGATAATGGATGTTCCTCTGAATAGATGAGATTGTCTTTATTTTGGAAATACCGGTTGCTAGGGTGACCATACACGGGGAAGTTTTTCTCTATGTTTTCCAAGTTCTCCGAATAATTTGGCTTTCAGACGGAAAGTGTTTCATGGTAGTGACGAGACGTTTGCTTCTTAATGATCGAGCTTTCTTTCTTTCTTTTTTTTATCCTGTTCTAAAGAGCGTGTTGAGCTTTCAAATTGAGCCTCGAAGCAAATAAACCTCCTTTCCGAATCTTCTGAAAGGCACGAAACCTGCACATTAAGCTGCTTCCATCTTCACGGAGCTTAATGACAGGGTTCTCAAACGCTCTTCAGAAGAAGGGGAAAAAATAAAGAAAAATGACATAGAACTAAAGGTTAAAAGAAATTAAACAAAAAACATCCAAACTATATTTTGCAAATCTCAGCTAAAAGAACAGTGTCATTTCAGAAGTAAAATAGGAAAGAGATTAGGACTGAGAAGAAGAGAGTGTATTTCTGAAACGTAACATTGTTTTCCCACTAAATGTATAGGCACGACCTTGGTCTTGCAGTTTTGCTTCACGGTATTCAAAGACAATGGCTGAATAATTATAATACTCTATGTCAAAGAGCGTCTCACCTCTAAAGGCGTGGAATTGAAGACATGTGTATATATATATCACCATTTTCACTTTGACATTTAAAGGTAAGAATATAATTGCATTTTGCAGACGGGTGGTGCTTCTGACTGACTGTCCTCTCTCGAGCAAGCAGTTCTCAGTTAAAGAGACATTGTCTGGTATCATATGCATTGTTTGTTTTTTTGTTGAATTCAGCACGAAGCTATTCGAGAGCTGCCTGAAATGATAGACTAGACTCGCTAGAGGGAGGGCAGTTAGTCAATACCACCCACCGCTGACTCTTAGGCTATTTTTCTTACCAACTATCAGTGGGATTGACCGTAACTTTATAACGCTCCCATGGCTGAAAGGTCTAGCATGTTCGATGAATGGATTCGAACTTGCGATCCACAGATTTCGAGTCGACTGCCCTAACCATCAGATCATGCCAAGCTCAAATATATTGGTAAAGGAATAAATAGTATATGAGTTGACAATAATTACAGCCGTATCATTGAAATTAAATTTATGATATACTGTTATATCTAAAGCAGACATAAAAGGATTTATAAAACACCTTGCAACTTTGTTAAATGGGATTTATTAACGCTTTCTTTCTGATGCAAGTTTTTGTACGTCTCTAGGATCATAAATGATCATTCAGCTATTTTAATGTTGTTGTTTTAAATTAAAGTATGCCAGTATGATTTATAACTATGGAGACGTAACAAAAACGTGCTTTCATATATCAGACCGCCAAATCTTCTAAGTAAATTATGAAATTATATATCAGTCGAAATGTCTGAAATTATGTGAAGTAGTTACTGGACAAATGTTTTTAGGGTTTATATTTTATTTTTCGGAGTTGTTGATAAGGCTACAAAATGGATATATTCGCATAGTCCACCCCAATTATGAGCTGATAGACTGGAGATAAAGCAGCTAGTGAAACAACACCAGCCGCCAACTACTGGGTTAGTAGTGTGGGATCGAAAAATGGGATTTGACCGTCACTCTTATAACGCACCCACCGACGGCTATAAAGTGCGAAATTAGTTTTTGTCGCAACGGGTCGTGAACTGTGAATGCCCGGACTCAAAATTTGACCCATACTTTTAACCCAGTGTAAAGTGAACCCAATCTAACAAAGAAAACCATCTAACTAGTTTCTCTAGTTCTGCTGCTCTCTGACTACATTCAGAGTACACCGGCTGGATTCTTGCTATCGGCAGAATAAAGGCAACACTCGTTACTCTCCCCACCAACTGTTACACTACCGTGGTTGTTACGTATCAGTTAAGATGAATCAGATGTGACTGAATGTAGTTTCGAGAGCTATGTACCAATTAAGAAAAATGTTGATGAATCCAAACAAGTATGAGGCAAACATCAGAAACTGTACACGACTGATAATTATTGTATACTTATGTTATGAAGGTTACTAAGCATGATTGTTTATTAGTCCTATAAAGGTTACTAAGCATGATTGTTTATTAGTCCTATGAAGGTTACTAAGCATGATTGTTTATTAGTCCTATGAAGGTTACTAAGCATGATTGTTTATTAGTCCTATGAAGGTTACCAAGCATGATTGTTTATTAGTCCTATGAAGGTTACTAAGCATGATTGTTTTTAGTCCTATGAAAGTTACTAAGCATTATTGTTTATTAGTCCTATGAAGGTTAGTAATGACACGACCGTTTATAATTATTATGAAGGTTACTAAGCATGATCGTTTATTAGTACTATGAAGCTTAGTAAGCATGACTGTTTTTACTCCTATGAAGGTTACTAAACATGATTGTTTTTAGCCCTATGAAGGTTACTAAGCATGATTGTTTATTACTACTATGAAGGTTACTAAGCATGATTGTTTATTAGTACTATGAAGGTTACTAAGCATGATTGTTTATTAGTACTATGAAGGTTACTAAGCATGATTGTTTATTAGTACTATGAAGGTTACTAAGCATGATTGTTTATTAGTCCTATGAAAGCTACTAAGCATGATTGTTTTTAGTCCTATGAAGGTTACTAAGCATGATTGTTTTTAGTCTTATGAATGTTACTAAGCATGATTGTTTATTAGTCATATGAAGGTTATTAAACATGATTGTTCATTAGACCTATGAAGGTTACTAAGCATGATTGTTTATTAGTCCTATGAAGGTTACTAAGCATGATTGTTCATTAGACCTATGTAGGTTACTAAGCATGATCGTTTATTAGTCCTATGAAGGTTACTAAGCATGATTGTTTATTAGTCATATGAAGGTTATTAAGCATGATTGTTCATTAGACCTATGAAGGTTACTAAGCATGATTTTTTATTAGTACTATGAAGGTTACTAAGCATGATTGTTTATTAGTCCTATGAAGGTTACTAAGCATGATTGTTTATTAGTCATATGAAGGTTATTAAGCATGATTGTTCATTAGACCTATGAAGGTTACTAAGCATGATTTTTTATTAGTACTATGCAGGTTTCTAAGTACACGACCGTTTATGTTTCATATAAAGGTTCCTGTCACCCTTTCCTCACGGTGTACTTCCTTCAGTGGGAATCTTCTCCATCAAACCTAAAGCTCATCAGTACGTTTGAATCGATGTAGTACAAAGAGCATCAACATTAAAAACATATGTCTACTGTGACATATAATCCTCAGATTCGATATATCATTTTTTTTTAACAGAATATACAAACAAACGAGTTGCGTGAGCAGTAGAAGGTGTAACTTGGAACAGTAATTTATTTCCAAAATTAGTTTAGCCTTTTATAATCCACCATCGTATAATAATACAATTACATATTCGTACACGCGCATCTACTGGGTAGTTTGTATTCTTATACATATATATATATATTTGTTTCTAACACAGACGGTTACACAACGGACGATCTTGTATTTCTGTGGAAAGTTGGAGATCCAGTACAGGTTACAAAAAACCTTCATCTGCCTCGTTTCACTTTGGAGAAGTTTAATACAGAATATTGTACCAGCAAAACAAACACAGGTAGGTACAAACGTATCTACAAAGGATGAACAGACGAATAGTAAGAGTTTGTTCCTCCAGATTTCCATAAGATGCGGTGTAGGTTTGCTTGATAAAATCAACGTCTTATTACTAGATACCAACGCAATAAAGCTCATCAATTTCAAACTGGTTGCTAGGTTATAATATACTCTAAAGCCAAATGGTTGACAAAAATCGCGTAACCACTACGAAACGTTTCACGGTGAATGAAATATCAAAACAGGAAATTGGATTTAAGTAATCTGTTTGTTTTAAATAACTCTTAAAAGCAGACTTTGATGCGAGTGTTCTTCGTTTTCGCATGCTATGATAAAAAACGCGTTTTCAAATGTTTGTTTTATTAGTCTCACTATATGATATAAGAATGATGAATTAGGTTTACGTCATTAGCTGTGTGAAGATTTGAGTTGACTCTATATTTTGTGTTGAAAAGAGAACTTTGAAACAGCTATATCGACCTTCTCTATATGTCGGAGATCGTAGCGAATAATCCAAATATGTTGATAATAAGATACTCTTGTTGTGCGGATATGTTACACGTGGAACTGAAACGTGACAAAGTTAATTTATTTAAAGTCTTGAGCTTCACTATGTCTCTAGAAGTGTTAGGAGGTAATTAGAATTCGGTATGTAGACGACCGAATGAGTTATTCCACTGAAGTTTTCAACATGGTGGAAGAAACACTGGTTGCAACGCATTGTCAAAGATGTTCAGATTGTGCACTGAACTAACAAGTTTCAGATTGTTTTAGATGTTTAGATTGTACACTGAAGTGGCAAACTTCAGATTGTTTTAGATGTTTAGATTGTGCACTGAACTGCAAGTTCAGATTATTTTAGATGTTTAGATTGTACACTAAAGTGGCAAGTTTCAGATTATTTTAGATGTTTAGATTGTACACTGAAGTGGCAAACTTCATATTGTTTTAGATGTTTAGATTGTGCACTGAACTAACAAGTTTCAGATTGTTTTAGATGTTTAGTTTGTACACTGAAGTGGCAAACTTCATATTGTTTTAGATGTTTAGATTGTACACTGAAGTGACAAACTTCAGATTGTTTTAGATATTTAGATTGTACACTGAAGTGGCAAACTTCAGATTGTTTTAGATGTTTAGATTGTACACTGAAGTGGCAAACTTCAGATTGTTTTAGATGTTTAGATTGTACACTGAACTGGCAAGTTTCAGATTATTTTAGATGTTTAGACTGTACACTGAAGTGGCAAGTTTCAGATTGTTTTAGATGTTTAGATTGTACACTGAAGTGGCAAACTTCAGATTGTTTTAGATGTTTAGATTGTGCACTGAACTGGCAAACTTCAGATTATTTTAGATGTTTAGATTGTACACTGAAGTGGCAAGTTTCAGATTATTTTAGATGTTTAGATTGCACACTGAAGTGGCAAACTTCAGATTGTTTTAGATGTTTAGATTGTACATTGAAGTGGCAAACTTCAGATTGTTTTAGATGTTTAGATTGTACACTGAAGTGGCAAACTTCAGATTTTTTAGATGTTTAGATTGTACACTGAAGTGGCAAACTTCAGATTGTTTTAGATGTTTAGATTGTACACTAAACTGACAAGTTTCAGATTATTTCAGCTGTTTAGATTGTACACTGAAGTGGCAAGCTTCAGATTGTTTTAGATGTTCAAATAGTGAACTGAACTGACAAGTTTCAGACTTTTTTAGAAAACCCCTTCAGAACAACAAGAACTACTTTCACGTGAGATGTTAGGAATTATTTGCGTCATGCTTTTCTTGAGGCACCCAACGTTTCAAGGTAAGGTGTATGTATATCATAACCTAGTCGTACCTATTTTTGACCTTCACGGGAGATTCCTCGAATATTTGTTGTCAGCAGATTAATTCCAAATCGTACTGGAAATGCTTTGTAACCTCGCTGTTTGCACCTCACCTATACGTTACACAGGAAACTCCTTCGCACCTGATTTTAAACACTTTTTTTAAAAGGTTTTATAGAAACTCCTTGGCGCTTCATGGTTGACACCTTTCTTTCAAATTTAACTAGAAAAGATTGCACCTCACCTATACGTTGCACAGGAAACTCCTTCGAA